TTTTGATCATACAATTATTACATTCATTTTCCTTAGTCCTTAGAGAGGGAAAAACATCCCAATTGCCAAATGCTGATGGTGTTTCATAGGGTCTTAAAGCGTACATCTCATTAGGTTTTTGTTTTTCAGCTGGGAAAAAAGTTTATGAAGTCAATATCTGTTTCTCTTGAGGGAATTTTGCTTGTATATTTTAAAGATACATTTACCATTTCCCTCAGGTGATTTATGCCAGTATCTGTCCTTCAATATCATAGCAACAAAAGGTTTTTCCCTTTGCAGTTTTATGCAGCTCAGATAAATTTAGTCTTTTCTTCCAAAAATATTAATAGAATACCTGCTGCATGTTTTTTCAAAAAATATTTTTTGTTCTTCATTTTTCAGAGTATGTTTATCCAGAGAAAACCTGTGAATCAATAGATTTGTTTTATACTTTTAGAAAAATTTGACTTGAACTTTGATGTTCAGCATCCACAAGAAATAATTTAGAAAAAGAATAGTTTCATTGTTGTGATTGTTTTAAGATTTAAGCAAATAAAAATAGCCATTTGTGATACCAACTGGAGTGTTTCCGTGATGACATAAACCTAACATCATTCCCGCTTTTGTAATACTGCCCTGTTCTCTCTAGCCACGTGAAGCCTGAAATTAAAGTGTTAGGAGGACACTGAGATTCTCTTAGAGTCTTCTCTGGTTGGCTAGATCTCCCATAGCAAAGTATCATGAACAAGAAGCAATTTTGATATAGTTATTTTTGTTCTGATACGCAAGGCATTGATATAAATAAAAAGCTCACATTTGAATTTCATATTTTACAGTGGTTTTCAAATGCATTTTCTTCCAATTTGGCATCACAATTCTCTTGTTGGTAGGTATTAACCCATTTTGAAGAAAAGGACGCAAAAATCTGAAGAAGTGAGTTGCAAGTCCAAGTTTACCTAATTAGAAGAGTTCCAAATTAAACTTGGGAGTTCTGATCACAAGCTCTGTGAGAGTCCCACTTCACTTCCTGTGATTAGGTGACATGAAATGAAAAAAAAAAAATGAAGTAAGCACTTCTAAAGTAATTTGAATTACAAGATGTTTCGGCACCCTGTATTCAATTGAAAGGCTTACAATATATTTTTAAATGTATATAATATATTCACATTATATGTGTATGATATATACTCACTATATAGTATACCTTAGGTATATAATATATCTTTCAGTATATTGTATACATATATAAAATATGTATATTATGTTTATATATCTTAGATTGTCAAATTTTCCTTTTTAAGGAGTTTTTTGAGTGTGGCAGGAGAGATAACCCAAAGGGATCTTTCGGACTGCCCACTTTGGAAACGATGGAAAAACTGAGATTGTAGTTTTAACATATGAATCCTTGGTTCACAGCTGCAAACATTTTTTGAGACGTTCCTGAGAGCCAGTTCACCTCTTCAGGCTTTTGATCACATGAAGGAAGCCATTAGCAAACTCCTGCTGGCAGCTGAAGTGTTCAGTGAAACAGCTGCTCTGGGACCAAAGGCCTTCGATAGGTAAACACAAAGTTTACTGTTAAAAAAAAGAAAAAAAACCCTACTGTCTAAAAATTGTTAGTGAAAATATATCTTAATTATCACAAGTAGATGCTCCTTGGAAAATTTTATGTCAGTGTAAAATATGAACTTCTAAACATCTGTTTTCTAATTTATAGGTCCTAGAACTTCTGAGCAGTTTCCAGACTCACCAGTATCTAAATAGTGGTGACAAGAAATAAAGCCCAGTTGTTTGCATTATTTTTTTAATTGCAGCCCCTTTAAAGCTCAGCTATTTTTAATCATATATGCTTTCCATTTGACTAGGTATATTTTTGTCTATAAAATTTTATTAACAAAATACAATAACTTTTATCCCCGTGCTTCGATTTACTTGAGTATAATTTAATGCCTTTTTTTTCTAGGGAACTGTTAAATCAAGTATGTCAAAAAAAAAAAGGTGACCCCTCAGTGTAAGCTTTATCATGCTTTCTGTGTGCAGAAGAATGTCTGGCAGGTAGAGTGGGAGAGCTCCCCTATATTTAGGTTTTCATGAAATTACTTCATGGTGTAGTTTAATGTGTTATGAATACTTTAGATATATTTGTATTTTTTTTGTAAGAAGCAAAGAGACTCCAAATCCAAAGATAAATGGTATTCAATTTTGGGTTCTCCAAGCTACTGTTCTTTCTAATTAGTAAGACCTTGAAATTTAACTGCAGTGATTATTAACAATATAATACTAAATAATAGAGTAAATACAGCAACCTTGTGTTTTTGTTTCAGATGCAGATTATGTTTTCAACTTTTAACTTTTGACATTGGTTACGGCAGTTTCAGGTCCCCTGTCGTGCTCCAGGTGAGTATGCCAAGGTCCTCGTGTGAGCTCCTCCCCTGCCCTGCCGCTTTGCCGCAGGGTGTGTGTGTTTGTGTGTTGTTACTGTTTTCATTTATAGTAACCAATCAATAAATAGCAACTTGCATCAAACTTACTGCAGACATGTTTACTGTGATTCAGAGAATTAACTAGGAAGTGGAGGGTCTATAATTTAAGTTACAATACCCACTGTGCCTCCCAGTTGAACAAGCATGGAATTTTCTATGGTTCAGCCACTGTTTATGAAATAAATGTGGCATAAAGTTAAGTGTGTGTTAATAAAGAAGAGCAGAAATTTAGATAATAGAAAATAGTAGATTGCTTAGCTTATTCACGTGGGTTTATTAAAAAGGTAACTCCTTTATTCTTGACATACAGATATTTAGTTTAAAATTGTTCTATATTTTAATTTTAAAAGCTGTAGGAATTTTTGAAACATTTGTGTTTTCTTCTAGTATAAATATATGTAAATTGAAGTGTTTTTTGTACGCTTTGATTCTTTTATTTCCTCTTGACTCAAATTAACTCATTCAGATCATCTCCTCCAACATATTTTTAATCTAAAATAGCCCTTAGTCGCAAGAAGATTTCAAAATTGATTGCATCAGTCCATAGAAAGTTATCTTGGGGTATGGGATGAGAAGAAGTGACGAGAAACAAAATAAAATTATGTGCAACCAGAATTCAACTTCATATTGCATTGGTTGGTTTTCAAACTATTAAACAAGGAAAATGGTTACATTATATGTGGCTCTGATAC